TCCTCCTCACATTGTCGTTGAAATGCCAGCTTTATCACCAACAATGGTAAGGAAGTTTCAATCAGTTTTTCTGCTCTGATTATAGATGAATTTCCTCCCGGAGGAGCTTAGTACTGCTATTCCTGTGTGTCTGTTCAGAGCCAGGGAAACATTTTTAAGTGGAGAAAGAAAGAAGGAGATAAGGTTAGTTATATTTGATCTAAGGTTTTGAATTTTCTTTGGAATACTTTTCATCTGAATTCATTAACAATTTTGACGGTATCAACATGAATTGTTTTGTTGATCACATGTCTAACAGATAGAAGTGGGTGATATAATATGTGAGATAGAGACAGACAAAGCAACCATTGAATATGAATTTCTTGAAGAGGGGTAATTTTTTAATTTTTTTCCTCTCACATGCGGAGTTTCCATTTTAGAACACATGAAGTTTCGCTTATGCTAATTGTCATTTGGTCTCAACTGTATTGTTTGTTTGGTTGCAGTCTACATTTCAATTGAACAAAAATCGTAGAGGCATGCTTTATCAGCTGAAATGCCTTATAGCGGCTATTTGGATGAAGTGTCTTATTCACATAGCCCATATGTGTTCAATATTTTAAATAGGATTAGGAGCCATCTCTTTTGATAACTAGTATTAAAATGTCCAACTAGTAACTGATGGAGGAAACATGAGGAATGGGGATTTTCATTTTTACATTATGTTTTAAAACATTATCTCCTGATCATTCTGCTTCTACGTTGGTGAATCTCTTTAGAAAAATGAATATATTATTGTTTATGAAGCAGCTCTTTTTGTAGGTGGTCTTGAAAATTTCTTATTAATGAAATGTTTGTTGTAGATACTTGGCTAAGATACTAGCACCAGAAGGTACAAAGGACATAGCTGTTGGCCAACCAATTGCAGTAACAGTAAGTACAAAGATACTTGTAGACCCATCTCTCATTCGCCCTTGAGGATAATTTACATCTAATGCCATTGTAGTATGGCTATTGTTTCTGTCTATCAGATGGTTAATTTATGAAAAGCTTTCCCAATTTCTTAACTTCCAATTATCCTAGCATCTTAAGACATGAGAATGCTGATTCTGTCTGTCTGTCTGTCAAGGTTGAGGATGCAGCTGATCTGGAAACTGTAAAGAATGCTGTTGGCAGTGGTTCAGCTGTTAAAGAAGAAAAACCAGTCCGTCAGGATACTAGAGATGTGACTAGATCAGAAAAAACCAGTATTTTAAGGATCAGTCCAGCAGCAAAGTTGCTTGTCACAGAACATGGATTGGATACATCATCGCTGCAGGCATCAGGTGCTCATGGTACATTGCTGAAAGGGGATGTTTTAGCTGCAATCAAGTCAGGAATAGGATCTTCAAAAGTTTCATCTAAAGAAAAGACAACTCCATCGTTGTTAAAGGCGTCAAGTACTCATGCTCCAATATCAGCAGAGTCGAAGCCTTCAAAACAGACAGATTCTTTTGAAGATTTTCCCAATAGTCAAATCCGCAAGGTAGGTTTTGTTGACTTAACATGTCAAATGGAAATCTCAATTTGGATTACACCTTGCTGGCATTGATGGTTTTGTGCTATAAGCCTGGTCTCAAATATTATTTGTTATGTGTCTGCTTTGTTCAAGTTGTAGTTGAATATATCTGTTTTGTTTTGCAGGTGATAGCTACTAGATTGCAAGAATCAAAACAAAACATACCGCACTTATATTTATCATCAGGTCGTGTAACTATTTGAAGCCTTTTGTTAATTGAAATTTATCAACCATTCTTTTTTCTTTTTTTCCTAAAATTTGTTGATTTATTCCATTCAGATGTTCTTCTGGACCCTCTTCTTTCTCTTAGGAAGGATCTTATAGGTATGGATTATGAACTTCAAATTGTTTTTATTCTTGACCTTTAGATTTCTTGAATCTAGCAAATCATTTCTTTTTATGTGTTCCCTTAATTGCAGAACAGCATAATGTTAAAGTTTCAGTTAATGACATTGTCATCAAAGCTGTAGCTGTTGCACTGAGAAATGTACCTGAAGCAAATGGTAATGGCACATGAACATATATTCTGCTGCAAACAACTTAGTAGGCATACAGTTTGTGGGGTGAGTCGGGGTGGGCACATGTTCTTTTTTATAAAAAAGTCATCCTAAAAATCATATCTTTAAAAGAATTTTCTAAGGGAAATTAATTGAGGAGAGCTGGCATCACATGTTTTCTGGGTACTGGGTGCCAGACACATTCACTTCCATTGAGTATATTTCTTTTAGAGAATTCCTTCATTTGTTGTTCTACTTATATAATTTGGTTATTGGAATTTGTTAAATTAAATGAGTTTGTTTCTCATTTTAATTTCATATTCTGGAACTGATTTGTAAGCAATATTAGATGTTTTTTTGTTGTGAAAAAGCAATCGTAGACGTTCGTAACACATTTGTTATTTTAATACCAACAGCTTACTGGGATGCTGAAAAAGGAGAAGTCTTTCTTTGTGATTCCATTGATATATCAATTGCTGTGGCCACTGAGAAGGTAATTTACTGATTTTTAGTGTTTAAACTATTATACAGCACCTTATAGGCTTATATGAACAAAAAATAGTATTGTGCAGTGTCCATTCATATGATTGGGTATTGTTGCAGGGCCTGATGACTCCAATTGTGAAGAATGCAGATCAGAAATCAATATCAGCAATCTCTGCAGAGGTACTTACAGTAATTGAAGCAGTTTTTCGTTCATTTTTCCATTCTTGATTCCGTCACTTCCGCTTCCTTTTATGTTTCCGAGGATATGCTAAACATATTACTTTATGTGATCCCCTCTGGCTTTCTATATGCTTATGGAAAATTGGAGTATTGAGAAATTTGCAGCGAAGTCTAATGATATTCATCCCTATGAAGAATATTGAGTTGAAAATCTAACCTTGTCTATGATATTTTTTATGTTGTTTGTTTAGAATCTTTACCTTTGGAAGTGATGTCATAATCATATTAACATGTCTTCAAATTTCACTTTTGTTGATATTTTCATGTCAGGTTAAGGAACTAGCTGAAAAGGCACGAGCGGGAAAGCTTAAGCCAAATGAATTCCAAGGAGGAACTTTCAGGTGAAATTTGTCGCATTCTTAGTTGCTTTTCACCATAGTTCTTTTGTCAAATACAGTAGTTATGGAATACTTCTCATTCGTTCTGCAGCATTTCAAACTTGGGGATATTTCCAGTGGATACTTTCTGTGCAATTATAAACCCACCTCAGGCCAGTATCCTTGCTGTTGGCAGAGGCAACAAAGTCGTTGAACCAGTAATAGGAAGCGACGGTAAGATATTTTTATTTTAAGAAGAAAAAAAAAAAAGCACCGGTAAGATATTTAGCAGTCTAAATTTGATGCATTATGGAATGGGATAACGAAGTGAAATTTTCTTCCCCCCACCATAGGAATTGAGAGGCCTGCAGTTGTCACCAAAATGAACTTGACATTATCGGCTGATCATCGAGTTTTTGATGGCAAAGTTGGAGGTATGTAATGCTACAACCTTCTTCCAAACTGAAGCATCAAAAACAAAAATAGATATGAAATGTTATGTAATTTGTGTTGAGGCATTTGATTTCTTCACATTTGCTTATGACACTATCCAATCTATCCTGCAGGTTCGTTCCTCTCAGCTTTACGTTCAAACTTCAGTGATATCCGAAGGCTTCTTTTGTAATGACAGGAAAGAAGCCGCGGCCTCATCCTAAGCTAGGAGATTTGCCCGAATGACCACTGTAACAGGTTTCTTCCAAATCGTTCTAGAGAATCAAAATATTTTTTTCCCATGATTTGCTTGTGCTTTCGCATTTGTTGTGCCATCTTGGTTTCTAGAATTTCAACTTCCTTCTTCCATCGTCACAGAAAAATTATCAGAGGTACGAGTAGTTGCAAAATTTTTGCATGACTTCCCGTCTAATTCCGAATGTTACCGTCCCTCGAGTACGAGGGAATAATGTACAAACATCGCCAGAGAAAATATGACGATATTTCAACAATAAATTTCCCTTCTTAATGTGCAGAATTTGGTCCTTTTTTCTGTGGCACTGGCATTCAGTTATACCCCAAATTATTTTAACTAACTGTCCGTTGTGTTTAGTATTTAATTGGTCAAATTTTGAGCATTTGCTTAATTGTTTGAACATAAACTCACCATTCTCCTCTACGATGCGTATTGTCAAGTAGTCTAAAATATTACCAGTTAGATCTTGCATATAAGAATGCAACGAATCTTTGCATAAAACTCATATCACTAATTTTTTGGGGTGGGGGCATGCTCGTATTAGACGAACTCAAGGTCGAGGACCACAATAATGGCCAATGGCCAAATTAACTCATGACCGAAAATCATACTCATGATCGAAAATTGTGTATTCGGAATCGAAGGTTAAACTTGTGGTCGAATACCATATGCTTGTAGATCAAGGCTAAACTTATGACAAACATTTTCTCTCCCCAAACCCAAAGGGCATGTGTTTGGAGAGAGAAAAGACGGTGTAGGAGAAAAAACTAAGGGTCAAGTAACTAGCCATTTTCACTGAATCCTAAACTTTGAGCGGTGATGGTGGTGGTGGGGGTGGTTGTTAGGACTAGAACACACACACATGATCAAACACTTCAATGGAATATAGAACATGAAAAATAGAAGGAAAGTGGAACTAGAAGCCCAAGGCATGAGTGCCAATAAAAAGACCAATACTTCCACCAATTCAGGTGATCAAAAAAGGGGTATGAGATTTTATAATATACTAGAGTCATCTTGAACAAACAGTGACTTGTATGTTGCAATGTAATGATGGTAAGCGAAGATGGTGTTGTGAGTGCTTCCAACACAAACCCATCCTTAACTCTTCAAACTAGTTTTATTTATTTTTTTAAAAATTTTTCTTTTATATTTAGAGTTTTTCTATTTAAAATCGTAATTCTTCATATCAATGATCCTTTTTGGTATTCAATTAGCGTCCTTCAAGCTAGATAAGCTGCTAAATCTGATTAATTTAAATATATTAAAGAAAATCAATTACTGCTTAAAAAATAAGCTCATTTCTTGATCAACAAGAAAACGAACAATGGTCTCATGCATGCTGCGTATCCTGCTCCTTGACAGTAAGAGGCTCATACCACTGAGACCCAAACCCAGCAATTTCCCTCGCCTTTTCATTGAAAGGAGGCTTCAAAACCCCCCTAAAATACCTTCTCACAGTTCCATGAAACTTTTTAATCACTTCAGCTTCTTCATCAGCCTCCAAGTTCGTCAGGCTCTGTTGATCCGAACCGCTATCCCCCACCCTCAAGCAGAGATACTTGAACCACTTAACACCAGCAGCACAATGAGTTATTTCTTCCGGGTACACCACGCTCTCCAGCAACTCAGCCGTTTTGTCATCCCCTCCGCTGCGGAATCGAGAGATGGTTGTTGGGAGCACGTCGAGTCCTCTTGCCTCGTGGACGCAATGCTCGATTGCAAGGCGCGCCATTAGGTCTTTGGAAGTGGCAGTTGCCGAGTCCCAGAGGCCGTCATGGGCTGGAAAAGCTCCATAGAAGGAACCCATCTCCTCCAGGCGAGATGCCAGCAGAGTGAAGTGACGACCTTCGTCCTGCGCCACCTTCACGAAATCCGTGAAGAACTCTCTCGGCATTGCCTCTTGCTTCCCGAACCTAGCAATTATGTCCTGCAACATTCAATATTTAACACAAACAGGCTATTAGAATTATAGTATAACTAACGAAACAAGTAAGGTGCATCAAAGATGAGTTGAGTAACTTGGAAAAATGTAGAATTTACTCTTTCTACTATCGAATAAGAAAAAGGGAAGTGGTTGTAGCTTTGCAAAAAATGAAGCATAGAAAAGCAACAGGTCCTGAAGGTAAAACTATTCAAGTGTAGAAGGTCTTAGGAGAGACGGGTATAGCATGGCTTACAAACACTTTAAATAAGATTTTAAAAGCAAAAAAGATGCCAAATGAGTGACGAAAAAACTCTTAGGTACCTCTCTACAAGAAGAAGGGTGAAATACAAAATTGAATGAATATTAAGTTAATGAGTTATACAATGAAGCTTTGGGAGAGAGTAATTGAGCATAGACTGAGACAAGAGACACAAGTCTCATACAATCAATTCAACTTCATGCATGCGTGCTTGACTTCGGAGGTAATCTATCTGTTATAGAAATCGATGTAATGAATGTAAAGATATGCAAAAGGATTTGCACAGGATCTTTATATATTTGGAAAAGAACGTGTACTAGGCCCCAAGAGATATTCTTAGGAGGATCTAGAAGGAGTATACCAAGGCTCAACTTTAAATCCTTACCTTTTTGTATTAATATATGAGTTAACGGGGACATATTCAAGATGATATCTCTTGGTGTAGATGAAATGCAAGAGAGAGTAAATGTGAAGCTTAACTTTTGGCAGAAATGTTGGATTCTAATAGTTTTCGCCTAAGTAGGTCAAAGACAGAATATAGGGAGTGCAAGTGAGATATGAAGTACTTGAAGCTAAAAAAAGACTTAGGCGCAAAACCAAGGGCAGTGATGTTGTAGAACTCATACTGCCGACCCTATTTTATGAGATAAGACTTTGTTATTGTTGTTATCCTAACATAACGGAATCACCAAACAAAAAAAATGAGAGAGAAGCCTGATTTACAGCATTTATTCTCCAATGCGGGATGAAGGATGCGAGATTGTTCACCCAATTGTTTACCGCATTCATCCCGCATTAGAGGAGAATCACTTCCTACCTTTAGGGATGTGACTGATACGGTATCACAAACCCATCATTTTCTATTGATTCCTACAATACTAAATTGCATTTAACTAGTAGTACTGAGTGAGTACCCAAGACAAGTCGATAGCCCAACTCTCTGTGTGCGTGAGGCTATGAACTATGGCCTGCCTACTCCGTAAGCTCCCGCCTTTCCCAATCTTCGGCATCGAACTCGGCGCCACCAACTTAACCTGCACAGCCACAAAACACACACGGCAATTTCATCAAACATTTGGCGCCGCAAATAATTAAAAACAGATAATTCGACATTGTAATCATAAAAAGCCTACGCACATTGCTGAGCCTGGAGGGTCGATCAGGCACGGAGAGGTCCAGGGACGAATCGTACGCACGAGTGATGGTCCCTCCCAGCCACTGAGCCGCCACCGAGTCACCGACTCGAGCCTTCTCGAACGGGTCCGCTGTGTTCAATACCCTTATCGCCGCTTCCACTAAGCTCTCGGTTCCGCTCATATTTTTTTTTATGCAGCGCTCCACACATTTTTTTTACTTTTCATATAATTTATAATTTATAATATCTGACGATAAAAAATAAGAAGGAATTTTAGTGAAAAATTTTTGATACTGTTTATTTTAATGAAAAATTATATTTATATACTAAAAAGTCAATTATGATATTATTTACTTTACCTTTTATTTTGTCTTTATAGTTAAAACTTAAAATTTTCAAACATTTTTCATTAGTTTTTTTAAAATAAAAAGAAATCCACGATTAAAACTTGAGAATTATTTGATGATTAAAAATTAAGATGGAGGTTAAGAAGTAAAAATGAGTATATCAATGACAACACTCCTTGTTATTTGTCAGAGAGGGCCTAAGCGTAAAACGAATTTTTTGAATTTAAACAAACTCCAAACTTAGCCACCTAGGGTTGGTTTGCTGATATATTTCAAAAGCAGCTTTTTGAAAAAGTTATAGTTAAAATTGTGTTTGGTAAATAAAAAAAAAAATGTTAACGTAGAAAGTAAAATCAGCTCTATTCTTACTTTTAAAAACAACATATTTTTCTATAGCACAGCAACCCCAAACTAGTCTTTAGTACTACGATTTAATGATATTCATCTTCATTTGTAGTGAATGGTCTTAAGTTTGGTTTTCGCTAAAGACGAAGTTGAATGGTCTTAAGTTTGGTTTTCGCTAAAGACGAAGTTGAACCATATTATTATGGTTAGTCGATTGTGAGACTTGCTCACTCCACATAGATAATATTATTTGTTAAAAAAAAAAAAAAAAAAAAAAAAAACTCTGAACCAAGTAATTTGCCAATCAGGACCTGAACTTGGAGGTAATTTCATTTTTTTGCACAATCTTCCGCGTGCGCCTGCTGCTTCGGCGACTCGAGCTTCGCGGTTCGCAGGGATGACGAGTCTGCACGGGGGCACGAAGGCCGAGTCGACTCACCACCGGCTCTACGAGTTCGCAAAATCAGCACTCACCAGAATCTTCGTCCACCCTTACGCCACGGTTCGTCTCCGCTATAGAAATCTCAATGTCTCCGCACACAAATTCGCAGATATTCGTGTCTATATGTAATTCTGTGACTTTTCATGGTGATTTTTGAAGGTGTGCGAATTGTACTGCGGCGGAGGAGTCGACGCCGAGAAATGGGACGATGCTCAAATCGGCCATTACATCGGGATCGGTACCGTTCAATTTCTGGTTTCTTGCAAGTTTGTTTTGTTTCTGTGTATGTTTGTGAGAGTTAACATTGGCGGAGCTTGCTGTTGGAATTGGTAGATGTTTCTTCTTCGGGAATAAGCCAGAGAAGAGAAGCGTGGGAGAGCCAGAGGAAGGCTTACACTGCTGATTTCTTTGAGCTTGACCCTTGCATGGTAAGGCAGCCTAGCCTCTCCTTCTTTGTTCATGATTTGGTCTTTCTCTTTGTTGGTTTTGCTTTGTCGACTCGAAAATTTCGAACCAGGGCTCTTTTGGGTTTGTTTTAGGATGAATTGGGTGTTCTTCCTTTTTATAATTCTTGCGTTGTGGATGATTGGATCTCAGTTTTGCTGTCTGCCATTTTTAAGACTTTGAAGAAATATGTGTATCTCTGACATGTATGTTGTAAGAGGAGTAGGGTTTGAATGAAAGGATAACGATTTTTGGAACTGGTCACATGAAGTACCAAATCTATAGTTTGAAAGGAATTGATCTCTTAAGCCATATGGTTGAGCAACTCATGCATCTTATAACTCACTGTAGCGGCAAATTAGATAAATTCAACTCCATGAACTTTTCAGCAGTGTCTAAAAGAGTTTTCTATGAAATGTGAAAGTGCAGATTTTTTCATCGTTTGGAAACCAAATTATCACTAGCCATGTATATTAAGTGTGCTGATCGAAAGTATAGATTTCTCTCCTCTGCTTCTGTACTTTTGATTTCGGAGGTGGACTGTTTCTCAATAAACTAACAATTGGAAATTTGTCTTAGTGGTTAGTATAAAATTTGGGCATAAGTTTCAGGCTTCAGCTGTATCAAATAATGGTTGCTGATTGACATTTATCCAGGATTCATCTAATATGAAATATCTAGATCAGCAATTTATGTGTGGGTTGAAACTTTTAGGTGCTTGTAGTTTCTTTGGATAACTTTTGGTCTCCTCAATCCTTCATTCTTTGACATTGGATTGTTGTGACAGGAAGATGTGGAGATGCATCTGAAAGATAAGGCAAACACAGCTGATTTAGTTTGCTGCTTGCAGAATTTGCAGGTTTCTAATATATTTTCTAAAGATCGGTAGTTTCTTTCCATTTTAGCGGTCGTGTTTTTTTCCTTTTTATTCCAATATTTTAAGAATTGCATGTTCCTTTTTAAAAGCATTTCACTTGCAGCTGTGTTTCCAAACTGAGGAGAAAGCAAGGAAACTTTTGCTTAATGTGTCATCCTTATTGAAACCGAGGGGATATTTTTTCGGTATTACTCCTGACTCATCTACAATATGGTATGGAAGATGCTTGGCAAAGACCTGTTGGTTAATTGTTTTTTTTTCTATTTGAAGCATTGAATTGGTTAAATTGGTACATGTATTGATCTTGTTTTACATGGTACATCTTTGCCTTGGGGCAGGGAAATAGTTATTGCTAATTTGACATTATGGTCATACAGGGCAAAGTACCAGAAGAATGTTGAAGCATATCACAACAGAAGTGGTGGCATGAAACCGAATATTGTCCCCAATTGCATTAGATCAGAGAACTACATGATCACCTTTGAAGTTGAGGAAGAGAAGTACGTATAAGCTTGAGATTTTAAGCATGTCACTCTGAGATTTTGTTTTCGTGGATGATTTTGGTAATTAGTGTTCAACCCTTTTTTCCTGAGTGAATGTGCTTCTACTTTCAGGTTTCCTATATTTGGAAAGAAATACCAATTGAAATTTGCCAATGATTTCTCTCCTGAAAATCATGTCTTGGTTCATTTCCCAAGCTTCATCAGGTTCATTGCTGCTTCAAAGTTTGATAAGAATGCAGGCTGCTGTATTTCTCGTGTGGCATACATATTACTTTCTCGCAGTTACCAAAGTTCCTCTTGCTTAACACTTGCATATATCGAGGAACCTTCTTTTAAGATGGTTTTCTAGCTGATACCTCTTTGGCATACAGATTCAAGCACTCTCTTTGATTGGTTGTCTTTTACTAGTTTAATGCCATAGATGTTGATTTTCAATTGATCTTGATTATTGACTTCTATTGTATGTTATTAGGTTAGCTAGAGAAGCTGGTCTCGAGTATGTGGAGATTCAAAACTTAACTGAATTTTATGATGACAACAGGTTTGAATTCTTGTTCTCTTCTTAAATTTATCACAAGCATTCCAGTGTAGTTTTTAACGAAACCTGCAAATAGAACCTTCAAGCCATATTTATTACTTCTAATCGTTTCGCATTACTTTTGTTTTTAACTCATGGCTGAATTTTTCTTTTTCCTATATGATTTTTGCTGTAAGAGCACAATTTGCAGGTATGATAATGAGTTCGTGTTCAAACCTTGTGGATCCTAGAGGAAGACTTCTTCCTCGATCATATGATGTATTAGGTGATGCTTTTCTTTCTACGTTGTTGTCTATAGCAACTTGCTTAGTTTCTCTTTATTTGTAGTTTCTCATTTGGTTGCTATTTTTCTTTTCAGGTTTGTATACCACATTTATATTCCAAAAGCCAGACCCTGATATTACTCCACCGCTCATGACACCAGTGCTGCACGATGTAACTTACATTCAAGATGAGGAGGCAAGTATTTTAAAGTTTGCTAAGATTACGAAGAAATTGGGCCTACGAATCATGACTAATCTACTAGTCACTGAATGCTCAAAACTTTTTTAGTCATAACAACCAATTTGTTTAAGATATAAGATGGATAGTTATAATGGAAGCCTTTTGATTATGCAGAGAGAGTGGCAAGTGCCAGTGACAACTATCTGGAGAGATGATGAAAAGAGCGTGCCTGTGGAGCCGCCTCCTGGCCTGGGCAAGATTAGTGAACAGAAAGGGATTTTGGGTCCTGGCCCTGCTGAGTTGCGTTTTTCCGAGGCACTTTGACCCCGTGGTTGATGGATGCAAGACGAATGTGCATGGAAGTACTGATTATTAACATAGAGGAACCCGTGTTATTGGCGTAAACACATTGTAGCAGTAAGAGTAGTGTGTCCTGTTTAGATCATTTTTTTCTTTTCCTTTTGTGTGGAATCTCGTACGCTTGGGTGGTAGATTTTGTAAACGAGGTTAAGCGGATGAATGGAATGATTTTATGATTTGGAAATAATCTTGTATGATGCTGATGATGTCCTCTCCTCTCTTGTGTTCCCTCAAAGCAAACCAAAATTGGTAACTATTTTTGTAGAATTTAAAAAAGGAAATAAAAAAGAAAAATAGGAATAGGAAAAAAAAAAAAGGATTGGGAATTGCACGCCCAGTGGGACTCGAACCCACAATCGCCTGATTAGAAGTCAGACGCCTTATCCATTAGGCCATGGGCGCTTCTTCTTGTTGTATTTCGTACAAATTAAGTTTTTTCTAAACAATTAATAGAAATTGACCTCTTTTAACAATCTATTATTCTTTGACCATTGGTTAGTGTTGGTTTTGGTTGAAAGTTTATAATGCATACTTGCGCATTGAATCATTGATTAATAGATTATTGCACATGATGTTAATTACTTATTTTAATAGTGCTTATAAGATGTTAATTACTTATTTTAATAGTGCTTATAAGATGTTACTCTAAACTCAGTTTTTTCCTTAACATTTCTTCATCCTACATACTCTCAAAATTAATTGCCACCTGTGACAGGAACACAAAAATTATGAATAAATACACTATATATCAAATCAAAGAAGTGAAAAGTTTGAAGTATTCGTTCCTTTGCGACATGTCTAACTTGAAAATTCTAGTTATTATATTATTTTAGTATATTTTATACGCTGAAGTTTAGTTGTAAATCTGGAAAGAGATTATCTTCAGATCTCTTCCACCAAGGCCAGCAGATCAAGTGATCCGGATCTTTGAAATTTCATCAAATGATCCACCTGTTTTGATATCTTAAAAGCTATAATAATTTTTCACAGTTGAATGAAATTTCAAAAACCCGAATTACTTAATCCAGTAACTTTGGTGGAAAAGATTCGGAGAAGATGTCTTTCTTGTAAATCTAGTCACTGAATATTCGACTAATAATCTAACCGTGAAACATACTGATACGCAAGAAACACCAAAGCAAAATTGATAAATTTAACAAGACCGATTGACACTGTTATTGAGTTGAAAAGCAATTGGGGTGGTCGTTGAGATTGAATTTGACATGAACATAAGCGCAGGACGATGGTGTGGGTACGTTAGCTACGCAGGCTACGTGTGATTGCGTGCTGGCTGCATGCTGCATTGCATGCTCAACACGTGTCCAGCCATGGCATCATCCCTGCCCATTGTTTTGTATTCTTTTTTGAACAACACTTCGTTACTACAAAATGAGTAGGAACTCCTGCTCAAAATTCTTAGTGTTTTAATCACATAGCTTTGTACTTATGATCAGAACCGTTCATACTATGAATCACACTGTAAAGATTATCTTTGCAAAAAATAAATTAAAACTAAAATCGTTTAGTCAATCTATTATAGCAAATACATATACTATTCATAATGTTTTTACCAATTTTGTTCATTTGTTTTTAAACAGTTTGATGACTAAATGACCTTAGTTTTAATTGATTTTTTGCAGAGGCAATCTTTATAGGGTGATTTATAATATGAACGGTTCTGATTATAAACACGAAGTTCTATAAATTGACAACGAACAATTTTGAAAAATTTTGAGTAGAGGTTCTTATTCATCTTTAAGTAGCCAAATATTATTCTTGTTTTTTTAGAGGAAAAAGAATTGTATTGTATTCATCGCAGATCTCTTATGTCATTTCTGGTTTGGTGTCATTCTTGAAGTAGATTTGCACCATTTTGGTTTGGTGTGATTCTTAAACTGGGTCGTAATGTTTTAATTTTCTCACATTATATGTTAAAAGATTGCTTATAATAGTTTTTTGTTTTTTCTCATGGAATTTATCCATATGTATTTTTGAGTACATTACTATGTAGCTTACAATTGTTTTGAACGTATATTCGTTTGACATTTATTGTTACAAACTTATATATTCTTACAATGCTTCTTATCTATTTATTCAATATCCAAACACATGAAATACATATTAATAGTAATACGGTAAGGTGTACAAAGTTAGATAAAAAGTTTGATTTAATAATTTTTGTTAATAAATATTAATGTCTAGAGATTCTGATGATTAATACATTATTGCATACGTTATATAGGATTCAGCTATATGTACAACATAAGCAGATGTATATGTCTCTTTATATACACTGTACACGTATGCTATACACTGCTACCCGCCAAATCCACCTGTCTCCTCCTACCTCAGGAAGTTTCCCATTTGGTTTTCCATCTTTCTCTCTCTCTCTTTCTCTCTCTATAGTTCTTGTGTTTATGAAAAACAGAACCACATTCACATAGCTTAGCAAGAAAAAAGTCGAGAAATAGTGAAAGCTTTTGCTATTGTTTAAATTTATGACTGTAAATTGAGTTAAAACTAGAATCTAAGAATGAAGGGTTCTTCACCAGTAGGAGGGAACAACAATAATGATTATTCATTCAAGATTCTGCTGACTGGTGATTCTGGTGTTGGAAAGAGCAGCCTTCTTCTCAGCTTCATCTCCAATTTTGTTCAGGACTTGCCTCCCACCATTGGTAATTTTTTTTAAATATATCTCCCAAGAATTTCTTTTGATGTTGGTTAATTCTTGCATGTTCTTTTTGAAATTCATGAGTCAGTGACATGTTCAAGTGCTTGATTTGGTTCTATTTAACTCTTTCTTAAACACCAATTTTTGTTTCTTTATGTTGTAAATAACATCACGGAGTTTTGCCTAGTTGGCTAGAGTAGCGTACTCCCCTTTGCATCTAAGTTCATATTCCCCCTCCTCGCAGTTTGACGAGTTTAGTGTAAATTATTTTTAGAAAAATGTTGCAAATTACACGTTGAATTTTTGTATGAAGTATAAAGGTGACATGCATTTTTTTGAAACAATTTTAGTATATGAAGTTTAATTTGTCTACTTTTCTTCTATTTCTTTGTTCTGAGGGGTGGGAGGAGGTCACCCAAAAAAAAAAAAAAATTGAATTGAATTGGGGTGTTGATTTATTACTTCGTGGGAAATTCAATTAAGCAAAGGTTTGCATAAGATAATTTCTGTATTCAGGGTTAAAATATAGTTAGCACGGATGTCTGCCTAGATTTGTATTTCCTCAAAACACTTATCATACAATTGTAGTTGGGGTCATTTATAAATTTTATCTGGTTTGCATCTACTGAGTACCGATTTCAATTTCTTTACTCACTTTCCTAAATGGAGCAGAACTCCTTGTGATTCCTACACAACTGTTAGGTTTCTAGCATATGCCTTGCTCTTCGTCGTTGTATTGGTAATGAAATCGATCATATATGTGTTGTAGGGAGACTAATTTGTGACTAAATTAGGCATAGGAAACAAGTTTGCGCTATAAACTCATGTGGAATTTCTGAGGCGAACTATGAATTTTTAGTTGTTTGTTAATTTTCTGATTGTCATTGTATTTGGTGCTGATGTGCTTAACCAACCATTTGAAGGTGTGGATTTTAAGATCAAACAGATTTTAGTTGGTGGAAAGAGATTGAAGCTTACAATCTGGGACACAGGTATTAAATGGACCCAACTATTTTCTGTCAACTTCCTTGTGACTTCAAGAAGGGAATAGATTCTCCTCTTTAGTTTTCTTTGAATACTAAAACATTGATTTTATTTGGCTTTTGAGCGAATTGTTGATTTGATACTCGACTTCCAGGATCGAAAACAATATTCTCCTCGTTTAATCGTCAATGTTTTTCTTTTGGTTTTGCAGCTGGACAGGAGAGGTTTGGAACAGTAATAAGCTCTTATTACAGAGGTGCACATGGTATCATTCTTGGTACGTGTATGTCATTGCGTTTATAGAAACATTGCAGTGCACATCTTTTGAGTGATTTTTAATTATCAAAACGGAAAAAAAGTGTTTGGCCATTGAAAACATACTATTTTGTCGCACTTTGATATCATTTTTTTTTCACAAGAGAGGTGGCTTAAAAGTTTATAATGCATCAAAATCTGACTGATTTGCCATTTGATTTCAATCTTAGTGTATGACGTGACACGGCGAGAAACCTTTACAAACTTATCGAATATCTGGGCAAAGGAAGTAGAGACGTACTCCACTAATCCTGAGTGTATCAAAATTCTAATAGGGAATAAAGTTGACAAGGTAAGTGTGTGCTGTGGTTTCTTAATCATGGATTCCATACTTCCTCTTTCTTTTTGGATAGGCGTTTTTATGCTTTTCGAAGCCGCTGTTGATATCTGATTCCTATATTTTTGTTAAACACTTTCCAGGAAAATGAGAGGGCTGTAACTCGAGAAGAGGGCTTGGCTCTTGCACAGGAGCATAAAGGTTTGTTTCTTGAATGCAGTGCGAAAACTAAAGAAAATGTTCAACAATGCTTTAAAGATCTCACACTGAAGGTAATATACTTTTGGAAAGGCTTGCATTTTTTCGACTTCAGACATACGAGCCAATTGATTTTCTGTCGAGTTTGAAGGAATAATTTCCTTACACCCAAGGCATGCTTCAAGGCTTTCATTTAACTTCGTTATAATCCTAATGTTTTGACAGATGCTGGAGGTGCCAAGTTTACTAGAAAGTGGATCTGTAGAAGTGAAGAGACACATATTGAAGCAGAAACAAGAGGATCAGTTTCCTTGCAGCGGCGATTGCTGCTCTAAATGACGACACTAGAAGACGTTGGTACAAGAGTTGGTGTAATGACAATTGGCGCCCGGGTGCTCTTCAAAGCCATTGCCATCACTCCCAAAACAATTTTGGGAACAATGGGTATAGTAAAGGTTCTGGTTTAGCTATATATGCTTGGACGTCGAACTTAGTATTATGCAGAAGGTGGTAGGAGTTGGCTTGAGTTTTAGTCAATTTTCTTAGGGCATTTCAGAGAAATACAGATTACAGAGTAGTGGTTGGAAAAACAATACAATAAATCGCTCTGTATCGATAACTGTCTGTAAATTACATGAGATATACAGAAACTGAACAATACAGAAAATGGCTTCGATGTACAAATGGAATGCAGGACTATGGAGTTTTTTAGAATTTCTCTTCAATTATGTATTCATTCATTGTTGTTATGAGATACGAAATTTTATTAGTATAAAAGAAAATTATATATACGCTAAAACCCAATCAGGTTTAGCTAAAACCCAATCTGGTTTAGCTATATTTGTTTCTGCGTCAGTACTCAATTAAGTTCTTGAGACCTTATGGAGGAGGTTTCCAATCTTCCAAGCTTCTAAGAGGTTGGTGAATGTGTTCCGCTACTAAGCGAAAATTCTCAACTCGTAGCAGTCACTCGAAATATTTGAATGGCTTTTGCGGCGGTTTGGATTTAGCTCTCTCGTTAGAGGGAAGCTTGCATGAGAATTTGATGATCTGGACATGGTTGATGGCGATAGTACCCTTGCATCTTTCGAACAAGTCATACCTTTGATTAATGAGAAACTACTCCTTTATCACCAATAACCTTCACAGGAACAGTTCCCATCTTTAAAATGCATCATGGAACCGATTCAAGTCTAACTTGGTGGCCGTGTGGCAATCTCCACAGATTGAAAAGGTTCCTGGTCACACGAAGAACTACTCCAGGACTAGTATTAAGAGGTTCAAAGGCAATGGCAAGCTTTTCCCTGTGGGTTGTCAGGCTATGTTCTTTCTCCTCTTCACTAACGTCATGCAAACAAAGCTAACGTGTCAGGTACATAACCAGCTGCCATGATCTTCTTCGGCAACTCGTGCAGCAATAACTTGTAAATTTGTTTTGCTTGAGGGTAAGATGCATCTCCACCAAGAAACAAATGGGCTTTCCCATGAAGAAAGGTGCATGGTTGCGTGCGGTCAAAGCAATGCAGAAGGGTTTTTGGGTAGTGGAGGAGGAGGACGCTAAATTTGAGGTAAAGAGAACGGACCCTTTTTCTTTCATACCATGTTAAACAATTTGTGGGTTGAAAAGGGATTGCTCCAATTTTACATATTGATTAGTTGATTCTTTGAATTAATAAAAGAAGACTTTTTATCCAAAATGATCTTGAGATTGACATAACTTCTCATTTTGGTCGACATTGAAAATGCCTCTAATACTACTAGTTTTGAGTATCAAATCCCTAATTACAAAGCAAAATCAAAGCCCTCTCTAATTAAAAAGCAAAATACAAAGTTGTCTGATACTACTAGATCTTCGAAATGAAGATTAGCTAAGAGTTGATCAAAACAAGGCCATGACTAACTCGTCTAACCAGCCGGCTTGCTTTATCTTGGTCACTAATGTTTGTTATGCTTTTGACAAAAATAAATAAATAAAACTGCATGGGGGGCTACTATTCCTATTACTATAGTACTTTATATCACCGATTGATGCAAAGTCCCAGCCGTTTCCTAATTCGCTGCTTGTTTATTCCCTCCCTTTGTTATTTACGTACATAAGCTACATTGTATGCACAAGAAAACCGGAAAAAATCAGAACCTGCATTGCAGTTTTGGGCCTTCCAACATGGCCTCTACCGGCTTTAACTGCCGTTCGCTTGCCTGGGCAATGCTGATAGTAGTAGTTCTTGTTGCTAGGGCCAATGACATTGACATTTTTCTCGAATGGCATGTTACACTTGATACCACACTCAAGCCTGTGACCCAGGATCAACCTGTGAGGAAAAAAAAACTTTTAGTTTAGTATTTAGAACTTAGTCCTTGGCATAGACCAAATGTTGGTATAAGAATTTGAGGAAATGGTCTTGCTGGAGCAGGAATGGCATACAACAAAGGTTAAACTCATAGCACGATGGAGTTTCCGGAACAAACTGCCCAATTCAACCCGGTACAAACTGGACTTATGTGTTCCAGACCAAGGATCAGATACGCAGTTTCTTCTACTTCCCTTCCAACGACTTTCACAAGGCTGCTGGAGGATTTGGACCTATTCATGTGATCAACCGCAATGTCATTGCCGTCCCCTTCCCCAGACCAGAAGCCGAATTTGATCTCCTTATTGGCTATTGGTTTTATGACAGTTACCAGGTCTTTCACCTGACATTTTATTTAGGAACAACATCTATTTGCTTCATTTTTTTTTAGCTGACACTTTTTTTTTTTGCGCATGGAATTCGAATAGAGTACTAGGGCACCGATGGGCATTCCTCTAGTGGCTTACCACGCAATCCCAGATATTTTTTTGATGAATGGAAAAGGCTCTCTTGGTAACCCCATGTCAAAATCCTCTGAATCATTAATGTCACACAAGGTACTTTTTAAGTCGGATTTCAACACTGAATTCAAACCTCACAAACAACAATTATTACCGCTATTTAATTTACGATAGCGTGACAAATATTTCATGATGGCATATTTGTTACGCAGGGATGACTTACAGGTTGAGAATATCAAATGTGGGGAATGCTTTGAGTTTCAATTTCAGGATTCAAAACCATCAAATGGTGTTGGTTGAAACAGAAGGATCTTGCACTGATCAGATCGCTTTGGATTCTCTGGATGTGCATGTCGGCCAATCATACTCGGTTCTCGTCACAGCTAACCAAAATGCAGCTGATTATTACATGGTGGCATCTCCTAAGTTGGTCAACACCTCTGAATTTACTAGCCTTGTGGGGATTGGGGTCTTGCACTACTCCAATTCAGTCTCACAAGTTAGTGGTCCCCTGCCTGATGGCCCTGATCCTTTTGATCTTGATTTCTCAGTCGATCAAGCCAAGTTTATTAGGTAAGAAACCAGCTTCATCAACAATTATTGTGTAGTATTGGAACATCTTCGTACAAACAGTACAATGTTACCTATTTAAGCGTCATTGCATAAGTGGGCGAGGGAGATATACTATCGGGTATTATATAAATGTTCATAATAGGAAAATGCTAATCACTTACCCATTTTACCTTCCACACTCTTGTCGATTTTTGTTCATTCATCTTTTTAAATTCATTCGGTTCAACGACTAAAAATTGAAAGAGATGTTAGAAGTAAAAAAGAGTGTGTGGATAGCACTACCCTTTTAATATATTGTCAATTGGTAACATTATCATTATGCGATAATATTGCACTTTACGGTTTCAATAGAAAGTTAATTACTTATATATGCTATATAATCAGCTTGGAATAATTCTCATCATACACATTCTAATGTCTCCATTTAATTTGATCTTTCACCATGATCAAGTGGAACTTGACTGCAGGAGCTGCTAGGCCTAATCTACAAGGAACCTTCAATGTGTCAAATGTGACCCTATCCCAAACGTTCATCCTCCAAGGTTCAGTAGCTGACCTTAAAGGTGAACCACGTTATGTTGTCAACAATGTGTCATACAGAACTCCGGAAACCACTTTGAAACTCGCCGATTACTATGTCAATGGCACCGGTATGTACCAACTTGATGCTTTTCCGATTCATTCCGTCAATGACGATGCGGCATACGGTCATGACCGGAATCCACATCGGGTGGATAGAAATTGTGTTCATGAACAGTCTGGATGCCATGGATTCTTAGCATTTGGATGGTTTTGGATTTTACGTCGTTGGGTGAGCATCAACCTATACATGTGACATGTTAATTTTGTTTTTAGAACATTAAGATATCCACCGCATTAACAGTCTGACAACATTATGTATATGGTAATGGTCTACAGGTTTGGGAATGGAGATTGGTCAACGGATTCACGTGACACATACAACCTCTATGATCCTGTTGTGAGATCAATAGTCCAAGTGTACCCTGGAGGATGGACTGCAGTTGCATTCCTTGAGAACCCTGGGATGTGGAACTTGAGGGGCAAGAACTCTGTGAGAGTTTATGATGCTGACCCTAACCCAGCTAAGGAGCTCCCCCTACCCGAAAACCTCCTTCGATGTGGTTAGTGCATTCCATTAATCCCATGATTAAGCTCTTCAATTAGCGTAATTCAGTCTCTAATCGAAATCCTAATCTTTGACTTTATTTCCTCTAAATTTGAAATTACAGGAATATTTTCTTCTCCTCCAGCTCCAGCCCCAGCTACATGGAATTGATGCTGATTGAAAATAGACCTTAATTAGTAGAATAATGTCTGCATTATGAAGAATTTGCAAATAATGTCCAAATATTGTATACAAGTTTTTTTTTGGTCAATAATATTGTATACAAGTATAACCACATGTAAACCTGAATTAATTTTTTGACCTTTCTGCTCTACAAATTTCAGTTAATTCATTGGCTTTGTTACTGTATTTCCTTGGTTTATGAAAAAACAGTGTCATCCATAAAAAATTGAACAAAAAACTAACAAATTACTCTATAAAGCATTAGTGTGCATTGTAATTATGGCTTTATATCTATTTAGTTAGAAACTGAACAAAAATAGTACTTTCTCAATTCAATCCTAATCGTTCATTATATGTGTTACTGAATAGTCCGGACTATTAAATAAAAATTGCAGATAGAGATGAAAACTGTTAGACTTATAAAGACTTTGATTGTATTTGTAAGATTTATACTGAAGGAAGAAATCAAGAAGATGATGAAATTGGATTTGCAAATCCCAAAGCACAAGTCATGCTCTTGTTGTTTGGACATTCATCTCACAACAGTACAAAAATAGCCGTTAGGCTTTTACAAGAGAGAGCCTATGAGCTCATCTCAGCCATCCAAAGTAATTCTTTATAAGACAATGCCACTTGCTCACGTCTAAACCTAATAACTAATCTCAACCGTTGATCAATAACAAACGATTGACACCTCAACCAAACTAGATTAGTCTTAATAAAATCAGTTTAGACACTTAATCTCAACAAAAACTAGAACTTAACATTGTGTCGCTTGCACGTCGGATTAATATAAAAAGTATATAAGAAATCTATTCCTTTTCTCCTTTGATATACGGGTTCAAATCTTAACACCCTAACCTAACAGGGCTAAGTTTTACAAAAAAATTAAAATATACTAAGATTTAAAACATAAAGCCCAACCTCACCGGAGCGCGACCCACCCTGACCCCGTCTACCACTCGGCTCCGCCATCGGAAACCTTTTTCTGATTCTGTTTCCTCGTTTCTTTCTTTTTTTTTTTGAATGTAAGATTCCCCGTCCACTTTCTTCTCCTCCGCCACGCCGTGTATCTCAAACTTCTCCAAGCAAATCGAGCACTCGGAACGTACCAAGCGAACTGGTGCGGGAGAGAGACAGAGAGAGAGGAGATGAAAGAGGAGACGTGGTAGCCGGCGACGGAGTCGAGAGGCTGAGGAAGAAGCTGTCGGCGAGGAGGACCGGGAAGGGAATGTGCAGTGGGTAAAGCTTTGGTGGTGGCTAAGATTTTGTGTTTTTCATTAATTATTAGTTATTATTTTATTTTACTAACTCTGCTAAGTTTTGGGGTTAAAGGAGCTATTTAATAATAGCCACATGTCGTGAGCTCATGGGTTGGTATACGATGATAAAGCACTACATTTTTTTTCTTTTTTAAATTTTATTGTTATTATTAAAAAAACAAAAAAATTCAAAACTATTACAATAATTTAAGAAAAACAAAATTCAAATTTCAAAGATATAGATAGTATTCAACATCTTTCACTCTTTCTTTAAATAAAAGTTGAGAAAATAAATTTGAAAATATTTTCAGATTAATAGTCATGTAGTATAATATATGTAACGAAAATAGCAAAATTGTAAAGTTTAATTGAAATTCAATCATCTTCAACAGAAGTCTAACTAAATTAGATCTCCCTCTCCAATTAGAGGTCAAATACAAAGAAATAACTAGTGCACGATCTCCTAAAGTGCTGAGAAAAACAAGGAAACTGATCTTATTCTTATTTAATTTCAAACGTCTCTCTCCAATTTTTTTTCATCTTTTTCCTTGGCTTTTTGTGTTTACACCTGATCAAAAGTGCCGTAGCTATCTTATTTTACGTTCTTTCCGCAGGCGTTTATGATAACTATGCTATTGATTTAACGATTATATAATTAATTAGTATCCAATTAGCCTTTATTTACGTGAACACAAGGAGGAGGAGGGTAGTTTACTGCAGGCTTTGCATACGAAGGAGTTAAAAGTCCATGCAAGATGGCATGGCCTAGTTTTGATCGTCGTCAATGGCTGATCAATTTTCCTGCGACTCTTTTCATATTCTTTGCCCTAGCAGTTTCTGCTGAGGATATTTTTCTTGACTGGCACGTCACACTTGACACAAGTATCAAACCGGCATCCGTCGACCAACCGGTATAATCACAGATTACTGAAAACTTGATTTTATTTATTTATTTTATCTTCTTTGTTTTCCTGAGATATTCTACACTTGGTAAATTCAGGTTATCGCCATCAACGGGCAGTTTCCGGGGCCGCTAATCAATGGCACAACCAATGATATGTTTCATGTCAATGTGTATGATGAAATGGATGAACCGCTTCTCATAACTTGGTAGGGCCAAATATCTTTGTTTATTTCGTATTTATTGATCAATACTCTCGTCAGGGTTTCTTGGAGAGTGCTTTATTTTACGGGATTCACCTTTTTAAAGATCGGGCTAGAGATTTGAGAGGCCTAGAGCCTAAAGATTAAGGGGTGTAATGGTGCAGGAATGGCATACAACAAAGATTAAACTCTTGGCAGGATGGAGTATCAGGCACAAACTGTCCTATTCTTCCTGGCAACAACTGGACTTATACGTTCCAGTTCAAAGATCAAATTGGCACTTTTTCCTACTTCCCCTCCCTCAGCTTCCAGAAAGCCGGAGGAGCTTTTGGTGCGATTCGTGTCAATAATCGTCCAGTTATCCAAGTACCATTTCTGAAACCAGAAGCAGAATTTGATCTCCTCATTGGTGACTGGTACGAAAGAAGCTACAAGGTACGTAATTCACAACCGACCAACATGTTATTGATCGACAAATGTGAACTGTGACCAAAATATGTACATTTGTTATGTAACAGGAAGTTAGGTCCTTGATGAGCACCAAGTCCATGGCATACAACAGCACCCCTGATAAAATTTTGATAAATGGAAAAGGTGCATATTTAGTACCTCCTACAGAAGTCCATGAGTCCTTAAATGTTACAAAAGGTACAGAGAAAGATGCATATAAATTTATCAAGTTTTTCCACAATGTGGTTAACCGCATTTGGACATGTCGTATATTATTCACTGTTCACTTACATTTGTCGATTTTGTGGTTGATATGGCTTGACTGATCTATATATAAATATGATTAAATATGCTATTGTATATATGCAGGGAAGACTTACAGAATTAGGATATCGAATGTTGGGACTGCATGGAGCTTCAATTTTAGGATTCAAAATCACAGAATGGTTTTGGTTGAAACAGAAGGATCCTATACAAATCAAATTACATTGGACTCTCTTGATGTTCATGTTGGGCAGTCCTACTCTGTGCTTGTCACAGCTGACCAAACTGTTTCGGACTATTACATGGTGGCAAGTCCTAAAATGTTCAATGCCACAGATGTGAACAAATTTGGCATTGGTGTACTGCACTATGATAACTCTACCACACCTGCCAGTGGGTCTCTTCCAACTGGTCCTGATCCGTTCGATCGAGAATTCTCCATCAATCAAGCTAAGTCCATTAGGTAATCCTCGAGACTTCTCCATTTATTACCAATTAATTTTGGGTTAGATGTTCTGAACCGGTCGTCTTGTCTTGTGATTAATGCATTATATCGCCATTTTATGATTGAACTTTTTTGCCTTGTGAAGGTGGAACTTGACCACAGGGGCTGCAAGGCCTAATCCACAAGGATCCTTCAATGTTCATAACGTTACACTGTCACAAACATTCATCCTTCATGCATCCATAGCAGAGATTTTTGGTTTACCTCAGTTTACCGTCAATAATGTGTCTTACTTGGCCCCAGACACACCACTAAAGTTGGCAGATCAGTTTCTCAATGGGTCGGGAATTTACGATCTTGATAAATTTTCTACCAACTCTTCGAATGTTGAATCCGTACGTGGAGTTTTTGTTGCCACGGGGACACATAAAGGGTGGATTGAACTTGTTTTCCAGAATGATTTGGAGGATATGGATGCTTGGCACTTGGATGGATTTGGATTCTTTGTTGTTGGGTAAGCACAAGTCTGACATACTTAGGGCAACGTTTCTTGTCATGCAAGTACTTGTGCGAGTGATTAAACCCAACAACATAATATATCACTCACATTTCATACTAATATTGTATCTTGAAATTTATTTCTCAGCTTTGGAACTGGAAAATGGAAGCCTGAGTCGCGCTCTAGTTACAACCTCTACGATCCGGTCGTGCGATCTACTGTGCAAGTGTACCCGGGCGGATGGAGTGCAGTTTATGCATACCTTGATAACCCAGGAATGTGGAATTTGAGGTCGCAACACTTGAAAAATTGGTATTTGGGGGAAGAGCTTTATGTGAGAGTGTATGATGCCGATCCAAACCCTGCCAAGGAAAGGCCTCCTCCATCTAACCTCCTTCTATGTGGTCAGTAGTAGTCTTGTTAATTGTATCCCATCTCCTTAATTAATTTCTCGGTCTTATTATTAAGTTGATAATCCTCTTCTTAAATAATATGCTAGATTTATTTACTTTATTTTATTTTCATTTTTGCAGGAGCGTTTGCTCCTTTTGCCCCAGGTGCTCCACTTGCTCCTTCTCCGCCTGCAGCTCCGCCACCGAAGCCATCTAAGGCACCATCTTTGCAAACAGCAGCAGGGTAATTAACCACTCCTGATTATAATTGTTTTAGTTTGAAAATTTTTAATCCAATAATTTGAAGCTAACCTATCTTTCTTTCTTGTTTGCATGTCTGTAGGTTTCACATTGCTTTGATCTGCATTGTTGCAACATTCTTTCATATTTCACGAGGATTATCAATTTTTTGGTAGGGGTAGCAAAATGGCCTTAGAAGTTAAGAAACTAAATTGTTTTTATTAGAATATTCATTGGACAAAGTCCTACATTATTATAATATATTTTTTGGATATTCGATTTATTATAATTGGCTTAAATTTAATATGTAGTCTTTAGCAAAGAAAAGTTTC